AAAGAATAATATAGTAATATAACCTGAAATTATAATTAATCAAAAATTGAAAGTTAAATAAAAGTTAAATTGAAAGTTAAATTGAAAGTTCTCAAAGGGCAATCGTAGGGTTCTTGTTATTCTTCTCACTATTAACCATTAAAACTAATTTTTGAGAAAAACAAGCGTCACCAAAAACATCAGGACCTAACCAGAATTCTGCATTTTTCCATATCAGAAACTTACCAAATTTTAGTTTTCGATAAGGAAACTTAGGGAAACTTCTCCACGGGCTCTTTTTTAAATTTTCTATGATTGTCAAGAAATGGTTAGACTGACAATTATGTGTACTTAGTGTAATAAAAGTGCAGTTACAAAGTATTTTGCTGATATTAACAAAAATTTAAATTAATTATGCAACAACTTTATATATTTTTAGAAAAATTTAATAACTCGCTTTCTTTTTGACTAAGTACTAAATACCAACGAAAAAGGCGCGCGCTTTGCGCGCGCAGTCTTTGTCTAGTATATATATATATGTATATATACTAATCCGAAAAGGTATCCAACATGGAAATGAATATTGATAAAAATCTTAAGATTAAATTATTTCCTTTAATATTAATTTTTTTTAAATTCTTTAATATTTGATTTTTAAATATCTATATAACGGTAAATTTTGTTAAAAATTATTTTCAATAAGAAAGGAGCAATTTTTGTTTTTGAAAACGCGTTTTTGAAATATCTTTTTTTATACAAGGTCAAAAACTGACATATTTTTTTTGTGTAATTTATGTTTTTTACGTGCTTCGAATGAGACGAGATTATTGGGTGAAAGTATCAGTGAGGTCAATGGATCGTGTGACCTCGTGGCATTGTCTTGCAAGATGCATGCTTCATTATTAAGTATCCTGCTTTTTACTTAATTGCTATTGAAGCATAATTATATCACAAACGCGGAAACAAAGCTATAATCAAATTTGCAAATTTTTATATAATATTATATGAATAATTAAATTAAAATGAAACTTTTGTTTAACAAAATTTATGACAATGTAAAAATGAATATTAATAAAAATTAAAGTATATAATTAATAATCATCATTATTATTAAATTGAAAAAATAATATTTTCATTATTTATAAAATTTACTTTTTTAAAATTAAAAATGCAAAAATTTCAAAGAACAAAATGTAAAAACATTTTGACAGAAAGGCAAGATATATAAAATTGTATAGGGATTATTTTATGTATAGATAAACGGAAATTGCTTTAGAAATAATGTTTTGTGACATACCAAGTTGAAATATCTGCGATTGCGAGGAGATAATGAGTTTACTAAAGAATTAACGAACTGTGTAAACGTAAACACTGGTTGAAATTAACGGAATAGAAAAATTAATCGCCACTTCACACATATCACGAGAAGTTTTTCTTTCATCACAACTTTTTATACATTTTAATTAGGTTAAATGATACGGCTGTACACGCGGCGTGTATATATAATTAAATGAACACTTCGAAATAATCAAATATTGTATTTAAACTTTTTGTTTTTTATAAAGACCCCCTTCCTTATTGGACAACTCACCAATTATTTGAATTAATTACTATTATTTTCATATAATTATATATTTGTTTGCTTTTAGAGGCTAAATAACTATTTTCATCGAGAAAAAGTTTTTCATATAATTTAAAAAATATATCTGTCGTAAAGGAAACTGTCTTCTTTGAAAGGTGTGAAAAACCTCCAATATATAATTCTATATAAAAAAAAAAAAATAAATTGGTAGCTGTAACTGATTACGAAAGACTACTGTTTATTCAATTACTTTCAAGTTTTTATTTCAGTTTCAGAAGCTATAAACAATTTTTTTTTAAATTTTCTATACCTTTTTAATATTTTGATCTTGACTAAACATTGAAGTTTAATAGTCGTCATTAGAATTTACAAACAAAATTCTTTTCTAAAATACATTTAATGTTAATTTATTCATTTTCTTATATATATATATTATGGAAATAATTTTTACATCTATGAAAGTAAAAAATTAATAATAAGGGTGAATTTACATATTAATTTATATAAAAAAATTTTTTTTTATTCTAAAGAAATTCGCAATTTCTAGAAAAAAATTTTTTTTTATAAAAATTAAAAACTTCAAAGCATTAAATAAAATATTTGATCATTAATTCGACTAAAATTTACGACTCTTAAAATTAAGATTGGATATAAAAGAGAGAAAGTTTCTCAGGGCAGAGGTATATATCTCTAAAAAGATCGCCAAGAAAGTATATAAGAAAAACAGAATAATAATTAACTGTGTCATTCTAATTTTATGATCAACAAGTTTTTCAAGATTATTATATTATATAGCTAAAAATCTTTTACTTAGCACAAGTATAAACGGATATTAATTAAAGGCAATTTTTATTTAAGCTCATAAATTGAAACTATATATAGTATGCTTACTAGTATGAATATTTATTAATTTTTAAACTTTAAATTTATTTAATACTTTCAATTATTTAAAATATATACAGGATGATATAGTTCCGGATGTGAACTATATCATGTGTGTTTTTTATTATTTTTTTTATATTTCGAAAAAAAAGAAATTAATTAAAAAATATTTTTTTATCTAAATGTTAATTATCACTCTATATAAAAAATTAATTAAGTAAATTTATTAAATTTAAATTTTAAAAACTTTGTTTCCAAAATTTGATGAAACTTAATTTTTCTTTGATTCAAAATCAAAGTTAGATTAAATCTTTCAATTTATATAAATTATTATTATTATTATTTATATTTAAATAATAGAATAAAAAATAGAAACATAATTGAATTTTATAATCGAATCATTTCCTATAGTAAAAAGTATTCATTTAAAAATTCAGAATTATTTCAATCAGATTCAGTTTGTTAAATTCGAGGATGTTTGAAAATTTAAAGAAACACATAATTTGCGAAAAGATATAATGTATTCTCGAAATTATACGAACTTCTGTGAGGTGACCTAGACTCGAAATGGAGCAGCAATATTAGTTTCAAAATTTACATTGATCAGTAATTCGACCCGAGTACATATATATATAAAGATTGTATTCCTCAAGTAGCAAATGACAAGCTACTGCTTGAATTTATGGTGATTTTGTTCCTTTTAACCTGCGCGCGCGACTCTCGACATAGCGAATGGAATTTTAGACAAGCAAATGAATATAAAGAAAATATACATATGAGAAATTGTTGAGGATATTCTAAAAGATTAAAATTCCGATTTAATTCTCAAATATATAATTATTTATTTATATATATATATATATATATATATATATATAGAGTCCTGTCAATTTATATTTTTAACTCTTTTTTCGATAATAATCAAAAGATATATCGTTATATTGAATTATAATAAAAGAGCATAAAACTGAAATATATATATAAATTCTGTGTGATACGATCTATAGCCTCTATACATTTTATAATATATAGGGAAAGTTGGTCAAAGGTGTCGAGAATAATTTGAAATTGATCTTAATTAATAAAAAGCCTTGCATAAAATTAAATTGGAATTGTGCAACCATCTTTACAAATAATTATTTCTGCAATGTAAAGGTATTTACAACATACACTGGCTTGCATTCGCCTCAACGATTATCAGGTCTCGACTGTCAAGTAATGGTATTGCGTGCCATAGTAGTTTTGTAAACCCTCAGGATATAAGTGGTTATGAATTTCAGCCAAGGGATTTTTGCACAGTGATTACTATCGATATTATCCTTGCCACCTCGAAAAATATCCTCCGCCCATTTAACATCCCAAATAACTCATAAAAAAAGGAAGATTTCCTGGTCTAAAGTGTAATAAAGTATAATTTCGTGAGTTGAATGAACTCCGTAATTGTACAGTTTCGAGCAATTAAATTTAATTAGGTATAATTTAATTTAAACGAAATGAAAATTAAACGTAAATTGAAATTTGTTTTTTTTATTTATTTTTTAAATTTATATATTTTTATAATTAAATTATTGAATGAAGAGAAAATTCGAAGGGAAAATTTTATGTGCAATGAATTTGAATGAATCTCTTTTTTTTTTCTCATTTAGTGTGGGGTTGTCTGGATGAACCAGACTAAAAGATGGTATCATCAAAGAATCAGGGTTTCATATCGCGCAAATATTGAGGTCAGACAGAGAAAGCAGCAGCTCAACCGTGTTAATACAAGATGCTTATGTAATTCATAATCGCGTCTCCCGTATCAAAATAAAATCTTTTCAAGAGATGCGTGTATACTTCTCGACAGACAAGAAACTTGTCAAGTTTGTTTCTTATCAGTTTACTGATCTAACAAATTTTTCCTTTTTTTATGCCCGCGATACTTATTGTATGCAAGTTTAGGTGTTAGTTGAAAATTTATTAAATCTTCCTAAAAAAAAAAAATACTGTCTCATACCGTGAGAATAATTCTATTTATATATAAAAAATTGAAAGGAAATTGAATAAAAAAAAACTTCTTGTCTCCAGGAGCTAGATTTCAAAATTAATTAAATAAAAACAATTAGAATATTTAATGTAGGAGGGGGGGGGGGGTGAGAGATAATTAGAAAAAGAGAAAATCCAATATGAAACGAAGCATGTCGGCCTTGTGCGGCTGACAAATCTTTTCCTGGGTGCGATTTTCTCTCGTCGGCAAAGAAAGTCGTCTCTCTTTGTCTATAAACGGGAGAATCAACAATAGGACAATCGTCGATGACGAAACGCCCAATATTGCTAGAGGCTATTGTTCAAAGAATTTTTAAACTGTTAACTAAAGTTCTATTCCTACGTCAACCCCACGCGTTAATCGAGGGTGACTAACGAAATTAGCATAAAATTGTGAAATATGCATTCCATAGAGAATGCGAGAATGTTATATACTCTTATGGAATAATTTTCCAAGTATTACGTACTATTGTACGATAAAATCAATAAAACTTAAGACTAGTATGCACATTTTATAGTAAATATATGTTTTTACCTTATTTTTATCCGTTGAACATTGCAATTTTGCTCACCTTGGCGCACATAACCTCAAATTTCGTGTCACCGGCATCCTTGATTTAAATGTACGACTTTTTGTTTTTCTCCTTTGATTTTTTATATAAAAGAACACTGCACACTTTTTCTATTATCTAAAACAAAAGAAAACTTATGACATTTACGATAAATAATACCTTTTCGTGTTAAAATTTTCGGATATGCATGTATATAACCATGCACCAGAAAACAGAATGCATTATGAATTTTATTTCCTTTCAATGAATAATATTAACCTAATTTTTCGTAAATTACTTTAAAATTCAACACTACTGAGACAATTTGTCAAAAAACGGAATATTTTAAAGTAAACTGAACGATGTAAACACTTCTGATGCGACAGGTTGTCGAACATAAAATATCACAAACGTGTTGCATCTACACAGGGGCACTTTGCTATTCGCAAATTAAATTTCCATTTTTGGCGTATTTAATCAAAAAAAATTTAACAAATATTACTAGAAAGAGAATCACACATGTTTACTACTAGGAATATCTCAAAATATCTATTTAAATAAAATAATAACTAAAATATACCATCGGACAATTAACCTGAAATTGCGACCCCCACCCCTCGAACGCAAGCAAATTTGCAAACTTTTCGATAAAATTATTATTTCCGACTTTACTATTTTAATACGAAATAAATCTAAACACGATATAAATACATTAAACATTAAAATATTCACGACAGGAAGTTAAAAATAATACTTTTTTACATTAATATGCTACGGGTTTTCGCGCGCATTTCACAACCAGCCGGATGAACAATTTTAGTAACAAATTTCTATATTTACCAATAATTCCTGAATATTTTTCTTCTTATTTCATAAATTTACATTAACTGAAATAACTATTCTTGAAAAGAATTACTATTTTCGTAAATAAATACAGTTTAAATCGACAGGTAAATTTTCTAAACACTTTTTCTTGCGAAAAATGTCTACTGACAATGGAGAAGGAAGTAGCTATATTGGCTATGTATCAAATGTAGAACTTCCGGTTTATTTGCAATACTATACAAGTCAAATTAATTTCTTTTGTAAAATTGTAAAATAGATATATTGACAATTGAAAATGAATTATTTTGTAAAAATGAAAATAATTATTAATGTTAAAATAATAGTTTTACATGAAATATACTATGGATTTTCGCGCCTATTTCACGATTGAGTTAGATCAACAATTTTGTCGATTTTCAATGTTTGCTTATAAATAAAAAACATTCTTCTTTTAAATTAACTAAATTTTCATCTACTGGAATACGATTTTTCAACGAAATATTATAATTCGTTAATAATTACCATATAATTTGTTGTATAAATTTTCTTGCTCTCCTCACTGGACAACTTTAGGAACGGGAATGAAAACGGAACTGGACACTCCATATAACAATTGCGCATCTCGATTCTTATTGGTTGATGAAAATTCAACTTCCGGTTTTTGAATAAGGCAAAAAAATATCAGTGAACACTGCAAATTAATTATTTTCTATGAAACGAAATATCACAAAATAATTTAATTAATGTAAAATAGATATTTTTAATTAATGTAATTGTTAAATATTTTGAAAATATAAATTATAATTTTTTTCCAATTTAAATTTTTGCTATGCATACATAAATGCAGGAAATAGATGGCGCTACAGTTTTCATTACAAAATGGCTATATACGCTTGTAGTGTCAATGTGAAAAAGTTTAACGTTTTTTCAAGATATTTTCCATATTTTCTATACAGAGTGATATAATATTTATAATTATTCACGACTTGATAAGGTAATTTTTAATACCTTGTAAAAATAATAAAATTATGAAGAAATGTATCTAAACGAAATATTCAGATTGCGGAACGTTTTTATAACCTCTAAGTTTTGGTCACATCAATTTTTCCATGTGAGTTATTGTAAATGCTTTTAAAATTTTTACAATGTTTATAATAAAATATTGCCCATTTAAACCATTTTTTACATAAATTACTGAAAACAATAACAATCAAACGATAATTCACAAATTTATATATTTATATTGTTTTAAGAGATGTCCTATCACGGAATCGAATTCTTAATTTTACTCCTATACAAAGGTAAATCTTCAATGAATGGCTTTTAAAATTCAAAAATCTTGATTGACCGGTAACACCGCTATTTCTGAATCGCTCACACGTTCTATTCGATATTCGTATATATAAACTTGCAAGGACCACATTCCACCTGAATGTCAAGGCCACATCAACAGACAGAGTATAAATATTAGGAAACATTAAAACACTTTTCGCAAGAAAATTATGCCAAATTGTGACACACTTTTTCTTTAGAATGCACATTTTCCATTTGTATTCAATGTTTTTTCCGAGGTAAGCAAATAAAATATCTTTTATAACAATTAAAATAAAAATAAAATATATATATATCCTAATTTTTATATGTATTTCACAAAACAATTCTTATATTAACAAAGCTATTTAAATTTTGCAATTTCAATAAATTGAATTAAATTTCCATTTTTTTTAAACTATATTTTAATGTTACAAATAATTTCTATCTACAGAACATACTCACGATCATTTACATACAGGAATTACAGGATTTAAATAATCTCAATTTCAAGTTTTGTCAACAAAAAAATATACAGACTTTCACCAAGTTGTGCACAGATAACGTATATAATAAGTTACAAACTTTACAAATTCGCGTACCGCAGATGCTTTCACTGCAAACTATTAAAAAACGAAACAAAAAAATAATTCGAATACTTTTAAAATAACATGGGGTTAAAGGGAAAGTTTTCTACCCCAGAAACTAATTTATTCGATAAATTATAAACATTAAATGACAATTTGTGAAAATTGTTGATTTAAAAACATGTAAGAGTCGTGAATCTCTCCATATTGCCAGGTAATTTAATTTTTATTTTAGTAAATGTATTTTCTCGTGATTACAGTGTAGGTACTAAGTGGTATTTTAACAGATACCTGCATAATTTGTAGATCATGTAAACTGACAAGTATTAAGACTCCAAACAGTCTCGTGTTCAAGTGATTATTAAAATTCCTAGAAGGTATACATACAAAAATCCTTGACACATATTTTTGTTAACACATTTTAGTTACAAATTGCTTCAGTCTTAATATATATTATTTATGATAATTTAATTTAATTGTAATAGTAATTTATTTATTATTTTTATTTAATTATTCCATTTGTTTTGAAATTATTGTTTAACTTAAAAATTGTTAGCTAAACACTTGGAAATTGAAATTAAACATAATTTTTTTTATAGACATTTTGATGAAATGTTCATAACTGTTTTCTGTAATCAGAAGACTTTTAAGTAGTTGCATGGGGGTAAGTTACGACGTGACCAGAAACGATAGGATCGTTTATGGCTTTCGTCGTCAGACAGGTTCAATATAACGGAAGCATATACAGCTCTGTATTTAATTACTTTGCGACTTCCGCAATTGCCTGATGCATTGATGTTGTTTTAAAACCTAAGTGCTTCTTATCGATTATATCCTAGACAAACTGAATGTTTATTTTATAGGCAGAATTTTCTCATTCAATTTTATAAATAAAAGAAGTTTCAATCTCGTTACTTACATGCATGTTATTTAATTGTGATTTATTATCGTAAAAAATCATTCCACGCGCAAGGTTGAATTCTATTTATAAAACATTCTTGAACTTGTTTAAGTTCCTTTTAATGCTATTTTTTCATTCAATTTTTTAAAATATTTTTTTATCTTATTATTAAAAAAATTTTTTTGTTCTCATTTTTACTGTTTTACAATATATCTAATTAATTTTTTTTTTCGCAGGGAAACGAAGAGCAGTGTAAAGATGAAGTGCTTTTCTTTTCAAGGATTCTAAGGATTTTTCAGGATGCATACCGAGTGGCAGAAGGTAACACTAATTATTTAAATTTGTTTTGTTTTTGAAATTTTCGATGATTTGTAAAGATACAATAAAAAAAAATTGTATTTTATTTATAATTATTATTTACTGTTGAAAGTAGAAGAAAGAACGGGACGAAAATTTCTATATAATATTTATTTAGCGAGAAATTGGAGAAAACTTGAAAGACGAATTTAAAGAAGAAAATATTCATCTTAAGTCAAATAGAAATAAAGGAGTGACCTTTTCTTGTAAATCGACGTGTGTGTATGTGGATAGAAACCGAGTTGTATATAGAGAGAAAGAGACGTATATCATCATGCGGCGGGCGCATCTTCGACATTAACTTATACGCCGTTGTTTGACACCAATCATCATAGCCGCACCAGTCAAAGTTAAATTCCTTTAAAAGAAGAACTTTCACCGAAGATCCCACAGCATCAAAAGGCATTTGACCGCGCGACATTGCAATGTTGGGTGTCGTTGCCTCGTAATCGCGTGTTTTGTGTCGTCCAGTTGTCACGTGGCAGTAAACAAGCATGCAACATGTGTGCAAGGATTTACCACAGGCATGTAATGAAACGTCGCTTTGAAGTCAATGATCTGTGTGTGTACTTTTAAGTTCTTTTATAATACGCGTTCGTTGATATAAGCACCTTGGCACGCACGCGGTGAATCGCCTTGTGTGTGCTTGGCAAACTTTCCAATGACTTGTGTGAGGCAATTACATTGCTTAGAAGTAGCAACGTTTGCCACCCGTATAACGAAACAAATTCCTAGCGGACATACCGCGGCAGCGGAAAAATAATGTCCGCTATTTCATTTCTCAAAAAAGAAGAAAAAGAAAACGCTCAATATTTCCTTATGGGAAAAAAATACATCTATGGAATTTATTTGCATTATTGCAATTAATCAGGGTGATGACAAGAATCTTATAAATTTTAATTATAATTAAAAAATGTATATTAATACAAAATAATGTTTTGAAGGTAAAGGAAATTTTACAAATTTTTAACTTTTATTCAATAAAAAGGTCATCACTGTGATAATTAATCAAAATGTAAATAATTTATTTGTTTTTTGTAAATGTGAAAAATTTGTAATATTCAAAAAATGAATTTTATGAGCAGATAACTATATTATAAAGCTCTTTAAAAGAGCATTGAGAGCAGTAATATTCGAAAGTATAAGCGACTGAACAATGCATCGCGATCTGAATCGAAGTCGTCAATCAGCTGACTGAGAAAGTCTACTATACAACCATAATCCATCAATTTTATCTGTCTGATAAATTAATTTATAGCATGTCAACATACATTTCGTAAAGAATTATTCGGTAGTATTTTCTACTGCACATTTGATTTATTCACATTCATTGACAAGAAAAGTAGATATTTCGAAATTCTCTCAATTTTAATTAAATTAAAATTTTTAATATTGGAGAAAGTAACATTAAAGTATTCACATAATAATTCTCAAACTAATTATTTTAAAAATTAAATTTATTTAAATATTTTTTTACAATTCTAAATTTAACATGCATAATTTCCATTTCTTCTTAGAGCTTTTGCTTTTAGTTTCGCTAAACTGACATAACTGAATGTAATTTTATGGTTAAGATGTAAAAATGAAAATAATCGAATTCCTTCTTTTAAAAGTAAAACTAATAATTTTTCTCTTAGAAAATACATCAAAGCGTCGAAAATTGTGTAAATCAATTTCTCACTAACTTTTCATTGAAAGTGAGCGTGAAAGATGTGATTTCTTCATAACAATGAATTTAAGTTTTTTTTTTTTTTTTGGTAGTTATATTTTCTCTAATTCAACAAAAAATTCAAAGCAAAATATAACAAACGATATTTTCAATTGATTATTGTAATTTAAATAAGACTTTGCTTTTTATTCAAGTGATAAATTCAGCCGATTGACGTTTTAATTAATTGTAATTGTTATTATAAAAATTGATTAAAATACTAAAAAACTAAAAAATTTATTTTTAAAATTAATCGAAATTTAATTGTAGCTCTAGATCGTAGCTCTAATTGATCATAGTATCAATTACACGTAGTTCACAACAATCAAGATAAATTTTAAACATTACTTGTTACAATTAATTAAAGCTACAAACATAAGACGGATTCAATTAATTAAACTTGCTAACAAAGTCAGTTTCAATTGAAAAATTGTTCCAATTAATATAATAATTATAAATAATAATAATATTCATTTTTTGAATGTTACAAAAAAATATTCACATTGCATGTAATTTTCAGAGCAGAATAAGAAATGTGAGAATATAATTAAAAAAGAAAAAAATATATGAAGGATTGTTTTTTGAACTGTAAGTTACTGTTTATATAATGATAATTAACCAATTGAAAGGTCCTAATTACCATTCGTGAAATTGTAATCGGCCATGAATTCCATTGATGATCTCCGGTTCAGAAGCCTCGTTAGAGTCATTTCCCGTTCTTCTATAAAGCGCATACAGTCTGCACTATCCCTGTCTATCATGCACTCGAGAGAGCCTACATGCAAGCGCGTATTTAGCGCGTAATTTATATAAGAAGAGGCACGCTTGGTTCCACCCCAAAGCACTTCGATTCACTGGCGTCTCCAAAGTTTAATTTTAAAAAACAATTGCAAAATGCACTCTTTTTCCAAGTGTTCTCCATCAATCTTGAACTATATTTATTCATAGCTACTTCACAACACCTTGCACATATTATTTTTTTTCATCAGCAATTCATCCACCCGTGGATTTTCCATATTTTACACCACATCCCATTGCAAGAATATCTCCAATTAACACTTAACTTTTTTTTTTTATTAAAAGCATACGCCAATGTGCGGAGGTAGCAATTGTTGCGAAGAAAGACTAGACTTGCAGTGTTGCATTGAACATCTTCGAGTTCAGATCGGTTTATGTTTTATAATAATCGTGTTCTTTCGTGTTCCTAATTTTTGTGCTCATTGGTGACTTTTTCTAAATCACGTTATTTTTCAGCGCAAGAATTTTTCATCTAAGGTGCGGTTACTAGAGAGTATTCAACCAAGAAGATAAATTATTTTTCTTGTTCTAACGGAAAAAGAATTATTTATCTTCGATTATGAAATTACTTCATTTATAAAATGGAACATTATTGTATTCAATGGGTGTCTCGTGAGCTGAACTTTATTGGACAGGAATCTTTTTTCTTTTTTATTCGACCTGTTGATCTCGATAACGTGCGACAGCTCGGCCTCTTAACTTCCTTTCGGAAGATTCAAGTATAAAATTTAACATTCACAACGTGATTCAGTAACGACCTCGAAGTCACCGATATATACCTGCGTGGTCGAGTTTAATGTCGAACTAGTGCAGATTATATACTTGTTTTTGAAGTAGCGAGCATCATCATAAATCATGAAGATGATATACAGCATGTTAACAAATCTTGGACCACTTGAAGGAAAATATTAAGAGACCAGAATTTCTTGTCAGTTGTAAAAGTCTAGTTTAGAAGAAGACTTTATGAATGTTATGGAAGTACCTAACAACGACCTTCGGTACTTTCTAACAAGAAAATCTAACTTATATGTATATAAATATATACGTATGCATTAACCAAGATACAAATGCATTTCTCAAGAGACGAGACGTGGGTCGCGCCTCCGTTGGACGTTTCTCCGCGATGCTTGCGCACTCGAGCGAGCTCAATTCCTTGGAAAAATCGAGTCGACGACTCGCAGAATCACCGCCGCGAATCGACCTCAAAAGCAGAAAATCAATTTCACTCGAAAGCAGGAGCTTTCTATTTGAAACCGTTACCCACTCGTCATAAGTTGCATAATTTAACAGCTTGGATTCTCCAATGACTCGCAATTTGAAATCGTCAATCTAGTTCACATTGCTTTAATTATTAGCGAAAATTTAGAATTTTCCCTTCAATTTTTTAAGGGCATTCCGTTTTCTTTTCTTGTTGAGATTTTATGATTTTAATAAGTAATTCTCTCCGATATTTTCTTCAATATCTAGTTAATTTATTTCAATATGTTATATATCAATAAATCCACTTAATCAATATTTTTCCTTGTATAATTTTAAGTTTTTATATTGGTTTGGTTTAAATATCTTTCAGTTTTCATATTCACTATTCCATCTTCTAGTCTCATTAATTAAAAATAGATTATCAATAATATTATAAAATCATTAATTTAATAATATATTAAACGTGCGTCAATAATGAAATCATCACGAACAAGAACGTCCTCCTCTGGATCACGCAAAGACTTATCCCGTCATCGTTCTACGGCTTCCGAATCCCCACAACCAATTCTCCCACATGGAAATCCAATCTCCCGAAAGGAGATCATAAGAAGATGTTCCAAGTCCGAGGAAGATTCTGTAAGCAAATATAATGGATCGTTGAGAAATCGTTGGCGACGTCCTTCAGAAATACAACAAGAAAATTCTGATCTCAGTCAAAATTCATCACTACGTCGACCGACAACTTTGCCCTCGGTTCGCAAGAGATCATCAATAAATAAAGAAACTACGAGTCAACCAGCTCGAAGAATATCGAGACAAGAAATAATTAGACGACGATCTGATGATTATCAAGAACGTAAAAAGAGTTATACTCTCGGTTCAAATGGTGAATTTCGCGATAATCCAAAAGCAGCATTTGTCAAAAATGTTTCTGGTTTTTCACGATCAAAATTATTGGCAAGAAGTCGTGAACGTTTCGATGATTCAAAATCTGTTTGCGATTTTGGAACTAGTAATGAGATGGGAACTCTTGTACCGAGACCCTCAACCTTACCAAAGATAACAAATACAAATAAGAATTCTTCGAGGAATAATAGTGAAGATCCGTGTCTTATCGTGAGATCAAACAGAGAACTTGGAAAAAAAGAAGCACCAATCTACGGGAGGATCAGACGTAAAAAAGCATCACTGACAAATGTGTCATGTGATCAGGATGTTTCGAGGAAGTCATCGTCGTCGGGAAGATTTAGTCTCGATACAAGAAAACAAGGTTCAAGAGACAGTGTTTCCACCACGGAGATATCATTTCAACGAAAGACTTATAGATCGATTCGTGATCCAGTGAACGATCCAGTTTATAGACCCAGGTCATTATTAGTCGACATGGAAGAGGTGGAGCGCAAGGATGGTGTGATTTATGGAAGAGTGCGAGACTCTCAAGGACAAGATAATAGGCGTATTGAACGACGAGTCAGTGTCGACAACGAGAAAAAAAATCCAGACGACGTTTGCAATGTTCATCGGACAATGTCACGACGACGAATCATCAGTAATATTCAAGATGTTCGTGAATTTAAAACACTTGGCAAACCGAAGCCGAGAAATTTTTTAGAACCAGAAAACGAGGATGAGGTTCACGCTCACACTCTTCCTGGTACATCACACGATCACGAGAGAATTAAACGTCGTAGATCATTGATGTCGTCGGGGAAAAAAATTAATAAAAATCCATCTCAAATTGGAAGCACATCTAAATTGGGTACAAAAATGGAAAAATCGGATCGATTTCGTTGGTCAAGATCGATTATTGATAGTTTTGAGGGTCCGGGTACATTATTGGGTTTTTCATCGTCGGGTGGTGGTGATGAACATGTTTCTCGAACATTGCCGAGTTATATAAAAAAATGTCGAACTTCGTATACGCCAGCGAGAATGATTGATGCTCGAACACGGGAAACCAGTCAGAGTTCTGCAACATTGAAGCTGACGAAAGAACGAACAAATCAAGAGCGAAAGTCCGTGTCTTCTCATGCGAAAACTTTTAGTGATGCGTTGAGTGTGCGTTCAAATTCGCCAGGCATGTCTTCATCGATATTTGCATTTTGTACTGGAAAACGAAAAGTTGTGTGGCGTTTACCATCCAAGGACAAGGATCACTATTATCGTAGTCGCACTTTAAAATTGGTGCGCTGAATTTTCTTTTATCAATTAATTTTATTCCAATTTATCGAATAATTTTTTTTTGCATTTCAGAATAAAGTATTAAATTATTTACAAAAATTTTTAATTATAAAAGTAAGAAGCTAAGAATTTATTTTTAGATATAAATTGTAATAGATTAATTTGTTTTCAGGGTGATTTGGTGTGGTTTGATCCAGGAGTTGGTCATGTTCTACCAGGCGAGGTTCTGGAGCATCACAAAGCGGCGAACGTTTTGTCAGTGCAGGCAGTCATCGCTGGAAAGGTATACACATATATGTATAAGAAAAAGACTCTTCCCAAAGACCTGATTTAGAAATCTGTCTCTTTAAACTACTATCGAGAATGATCAATGGTGAACGGTGTGTGTGTGTGTAGAATTTACAAACCATAACGAGGATATGTAGCTCAATGGAATAGAAAATAATGCGGGACTGCCTAGGTTTAAGAGTTAGATCTCTGCCAACGCGACGTTTGTTCAGCTTGAGGCTAAGGAACAACCGGTTAGACTGCATTTCCTTAAAACAACGCCATATAGCCATAGAACGACTGGAGGCGATCGCTCACTGCGTTTATGTCGTCACTAGCATTTACCATATTATCCAATGAATGGCTCCTACCATTCATTGGGAAATCTTTGCTTTTTTTTTCTTTTATTATTAACGGTTATAGCGAACATCTGTGTAAAGAAAATTTCATTAACGATTTGTTTACAAATCTTGTGAATTCACTGCGTGAATGTAACATTATGAAATCTTTATTAGACAACTTTTGCTTTGGAAATATTCAAGCCATGACTGTATTTTAAGGTAGTTCACCTGGTGTAGTTAACAAAATTTTGCATACTAGAAATCTTAAAGATTTATTTATTTGCATACAAATTAGAATAATTCATTTAAATTAACATTTTTCTGTAAGCTACATTAAAAATTTGTTCTATAAAACAAAAATCATATTTTATGTAAATTATTTAGAATTTCTGCTCTAAAGTTTTGATTGAGACTGTATTAGGTGAACTACGCGTTTGTTTACAAATGTTTGGAATTTACATTTGAAAATGGAATTTATACGCTCTAATTCGTATCTCTATAATCGGCTACTCGTCTCGTTAAATTGGACTTAGCTTGTGCAAGTTTTTTTTCTACGAGTTTCCACTCAATAATTTTAATCAATGAAACCAACTGGAAATTTCAGTTGATTTCAACTGAACATGTCCATACGCATTCTTGGTGTTTTAAATTCTTGACTATTGCCTAATAGACGAGTGTTTATGTGAATCTTTTATTGTCGGGAATTTGAAACATATGTCTTCTTCAATAGAATTGACTCTTAATCATATTGAAAATTTCTTCTATCATTTGCAATTAAAAAAAAAAAAATTGAAGGCGTGTTTATTAGGAGAAAAAGAAAATTTGAATTTGCTTAAGAAATTTATTAAATAAAAGGGAGTTTCTCATATTTGAAATTAACAGGAGGCAATAATTTAATTTAATTTCGTCTCTCTAACGGTGCATCAAAAACCGAGGATGGCTTGAATATGTAGAAAGTCGTAACAAGTTTCAAATTATTGGAATACCGTGCATACTTGATGAAATATATGGCACTTCCGTGAAAGTAACCGGCCTCTATTATATATACCAAAGTGCGTTTTGCTTACAACTTACAAACGACGAGTGAGTGGGATGCCGATAATTCTGCGCGAAAGTATATATATTGTGTACGAACGTAACGTTGATTTACAATAGACGCATAATCGCAAGAAATTCTGAGAAAGTTTAGATCTTCGATAATAGTCACTGTTGCCAAATTCGCGCAAAATCTAGTTTAAAATTATGGGATCGATGAGAATTTTATTAAAATAAGAGGAATTTTGATGAAAAACCTGAAATGATAAATAAAAATAATTTCTTCTTGTTTATGAATATCGAGTTTCTTATATACACGGGACAGTTTACATATAGAAAAGATCGTTCCTCCGTTCTAGAAATATTTCTTGTTATAAAAAGGAAGAATTCTTTTTATGAAATATATATATATATACGTGATGTATCAATTCAGTTCCTGTGATTGGAAAATTATAGAACCCGTTATATCTGCAATGAGATGTTATTTGCAAACGAAGGTTGTCGACTTTGTTATTAAAAAAGAAGAATGAAAGAAAACATAACAGAACATATCGACTTAGCATCATTATAAACTTTTTCTCCTGACTGGTGATCAAATCGAGGGCATTGAAGGGTATTACGTGTGCATAATTGATAGATTGAGAATAAGAGTCTCACGACAATCCATTAAAATTTTTTTTTCCTTTTACTTCTACTTTTTTTTCTTCTTCTTCTTCTTTCATTTCAGTATCATGCACACTGTTTTCTCAGTGCAGATATTATGGTGTATGGTCGCTGCGTGGCAGAACTGTAGTTGGGGCGGTGTCCTATTATACAAAAGCGTAGGACAAGAAATATATATCGAATTGCTGTATGTTGTTTACGACCCTGGAGAACATAGCACTCGGTGTTCTTGAAACTCTAAAGGACATGCACTTTAACCCTTTACATGAGAGGAAAAGAAGCGCACAACTTTTTTTTTCCCCACCGACTTCCTAAAATGGAAACTTGTTCCAAAACTTTATGGCATCATGTTTTTTTTCGTTTGTTTTTATTTTCGTTAACGTTTTCGCAAAAAGTACCTAGTGCTCAAATTTTCTCTAGAATATATAATAACATACGGAAATTATGAAGCAATAACTTGTTTTAATAATCTGGTTCTAGTTATATTTTATACTTGAGAAAGTTCTCTTTAAAGATTATACGCTTACAAAAGAAAATACTATTTGAAAAAACGTAATTTTTTTTTTTAAATTCCAAATATTTAATATTGTTATTTTAAAAATTTGATTATTTTTTAAATTCTTAATTCTAAACCTATTAATTTCATTAATATGACATTTTAATTTTGATTTATAATTTCAAGATAATTTTGAATATTATTATAATTATGCAAAAACAAAAATTAATTTCATTAATAAAATGAATTTGTTATTATAATTTTGACATTTTTCCGAATAGTAAAATAGAACAAATTCTGCGCCAATGGGATTTCAAAGCCGGTATCCGGTTGGTTCTCCAAGTAAGTGGTTCTCGAGTCTTATACGCTCGTGGATTCGCGCGATAGATCCTTTTTTTCTCGAGAAATTCTCTCAAGTTGCATTCAAGAGTCACTGAGAAAGCTGCGCGAAAAAAAAAAAATATCCGGAAAAGCGAGGACGCAAGTCGTCGTCATGCGAAATAATATATAAACAAACGGTTTTTCTCGAGATTCACAGATTTTTTGCAATTTAAAATACAACTTCTCTAGGAATTTATAAAAGAGCATTTGTAATTAAAATATTTTAAATTTTAAATTAAGATATTTTTTTAATTACTCACAATTAATTGATTTTTTTATTTTAAGTGAGATAATAACTATTAATAATTAACAAAAAAGAAAAAAATTAATTTTTTAAAGATTTTTCAAATTTTTTATTCTTTTCAGCCTCAAATCTTTACTCTTACGAATCTCAGTGGAGTCAAACAAAGACAGGATTTAGGTCAAAATGGTGTTGAGGATATGATTCAACTTTCGTAAGTTTTTTTTTTAATTTATAATGAAGTACAAATCTTTTTTTCATTTGTTGTTGATATTTTGATTGTTTCTTTTTTAGTGATTTAAACGAGGCATCTTTACTATGGAATCTGAAAATTCGTTACGACAAGGAATTAATTTATGTAAATAATTTAACTACATTTTTTTATTAAATCTAATTGTTTTATTTTATAAAATTAATAATGTCAATTTGGATTATTATAAAATTAATATCTTAAACTTTAAAGCTACTGACAATTTAATTATGTAACTAATGTTTTCAAGTTTAAATTTAAAAAGATTTATTATAAATTAAATTTTTATTATCAATTAAATTTTATTATCAGCTAAATTTAATTATCAGTTAATTTTTTTTTTTGAAATGAATTTCCAGTTATTGAGTAATAAAATGATTTTAATTTCAGACTTATACTGGCAGTATCCTAGTCGCTGTCAATCCATACAAGATGTTCGATATTTACGGTTTGGACCAAGTGAAATTATATGAGGGTAGAATCTTGGGAACATTACCACCGTAAGATGAAGTTTTAATGTTTAAATTTTATTTTCAAGCTCTATAAAATTTTTTGATTGTAATTATGTTTTTTTTTTACTACAGACATCTTTTCGCGGTTGGATCATCGGCTTACAGTCAAGTAACTGCTGCCAACAATGCAAGTGCCAATCAAGTCGTAGTGATCTCCGGTGAATCTGGTTCAGGGAAAACCGAATCGACGAAATTGGTAATGCAATATCTTGCGGCCGTAAATCGAGCGCCTAGTAATTTAGTTACAGAACAAATTTTGGAGGCCGCGCCACTTCTTGAGAGTTTTGGAAATGCCAAGACCCCAAGGAACAATAATAGCAGTCGTTTTGGAAAATACTTAGAAGTCCACTTTCGAGAGTGAGTATCACAAACAACCCTAACGACACACGCCTTTTAGTGATAAAATTGATGATTTAAAAAATAATTTTACTTATTTACAATTTTCAATTAATGTAACTAAATTTTTTAATTTTTCTCAGTGGTGTTATTGTTGGAGGGAGAGTCACGCAGTATCTTTTGGAAAAAAGTAGAATTGTTACCCAGGCCACGGACGAAAGAAACTACCATGTTTTCTATGAACTTTTAGCCGGTTTGGATCAACAATTAAGAGATAAATATGGACTTTTAAAACCCGATAAATACTTTTATCTAAATCAGGTATTAAATTTATATTGAGAATTATTGAATTGTTTTTCTTTATTGTGTACTGAATTCAAATTTTTTTTCAGGGAGGAAATTGTGAAATTGATGGAAAAAATGATACGCAAGATTTTAAAGCTCTTTTGTCGGCCATGCAAGTACTGGGATTCACGTCTGAGGAACAGGATACGATATTTAAAATTCTAAGCAGTGTTCTTCATTTAGGAAATGTTTATTTTCATCGAAAACAAATGAGACACGGTCAAGAAGGTGTTGAGGTAGGATCGGATGCGGAAATTCGTTGGGCAGCTCATCTTCTTCAAATTAACGCCGACGGTATCATTAGGGCGTTAACGACAAAAACTACTGTACGTATAATGACATTTGTAAATTATATAATAATAAAAATCGAAAAATATATAATTATTTAATTATATAATGAAAAATAATTTTCAGGAAGCAAGAAATGAAAGAGTATTGACTGCCTTAAATATTGATCAAGCTCTTGATGCTAGAGATGCTTTTGCAAAGGCTCTATATAGTTCTCTATTTTCTTGGTTAGTTGCCCGAGTTAATCATATTGTTTACAAAGGAACAAAACAAACAGCGGCCATTTCAATCCTTGATATTTTTGGCTTCGAAAATTTCACCGAAAATAGCTTTGAACAACTTTGCATCAATTATGCAAATGAAAATCTCCATTTTTACTTTAACAAACATATTTTTAAACTCGAACAACAGGAATATGCGAAAGAAAAAATTGACTGGACCACAATTAATTATACGGTAAGAATATTCAATTACTAATATATTAAATTACATTCAATTAAATTACCTACTAATTTTATTCTATAAATTTCTATTTCTTATTATTGTAGGACAATTTTCCAGTCATTCACTTGATAGCAAAGAAACCAGTGGGGATTTTGCATCTTCTCGACGATGAGAGCAACTTTCCAAAAGCCACAGATTTATCGTTTCTGGAAAAGTGCCATTACAATCACGCTTTAAGTGAATTGTATTCAAGGCCAAGGATGAACTCGGCTGAATTTGCAATCAAGCATTACGCCGGGCAAGTTTGGTATAATGTTGATGGATTTCTGGACAAGAACAGAGACACTTTGAGATCCGATGTCGTTGAATTGCTCATTAGTAGTAAAATTCAGGTAAATTTTTAGAAGAAAAAAAATTGAGACTACAAAAATTATATGGAAAAATTTTCACTGAACTTTATTTTTTTTTTCCTAGATGGTGAGCAAAATGTTTCAACACGTGAGAAATACTCATGAAGCGAACAAAACCGTGAACAAACCAAATGGTAGATTCGTCACGATGAAACCAAGAACACCAACCGTATCTGCTCGATTTCACGATAGTTTGCAACAACTTCTCGAATCCATGTCCCAGTGTGTATTTTCGTATTAATTATCATTTTATTTTACATCTTTAATATTTTGTAAATTTTTGATTGGAAACAATTTAAGAAACGTAAAAATAATTTTTTATTAATTGCAAATATAATTCAAATATAATAGAAAAATTATTTTACAGATGTAATCCATGGTTTGTTCGTTGCATAAAGCCAAACACTGAGAAAGCACCAATGAAATTCGACATGCCGTGCGTTCTTGAACAGCTTCGTTACACGGGAATGTTGGAGACAATTCGCATTCGTAAAACCGGATATCCAGTTCGTCTTCTCTTTGCTCATTTTGTTGATCGATATCGATATTTGGTTCCAAATCGACTACCAAGAGGTGCGCCAAATAAGGAACTTTGTCGTCTTATTCTCGAAAAAGCTGCTCCAAAGGAGGCTCAAAATCAATATCAGCTTGGACTAACGAGGGTCTTTTTGCGAGAATCACTCGAGAGAACTCTCGAATACAATAGAGCTTTGATTTTGGAAAAAGCCGCAATCACCGTTCAAAGGTAATGTATGATCTCATTAGCAATTGTAACTTTGAAACAAATTGATTTCTGCTCGATTTCACTGCAAAAACATTTTTAAAAAAACAATTTTTTGTTTTGTGAACAAACAGAAGAAAAGAAGTTGAAGAATAACAATGTAATTATGATAATTTGACAAAATATTCATGTACCGGTATCATGAGTTTTTCTAAACTACATTTATAATGAGTGAAAAGGTAACCACGTGAGCTGATAATAGTTTGCGTGGCAACGCCGTTACCATGTGATATTGAAAGGGGACTCAAAACAGAAACAGGAAACTAGTTAGTCACACGAACAATTGCAACTAAAAATACTGTTTTCTGAATTGTTTAGACCTCTTTTTTTAAGTGATATAAACAAAACAAAAATGGTTACGAGAGAATAAAATTCTGTTCTTTAGAAATATTTAAAATATAAAAATTTTATATTATTTCATAAAAAAAAATATTAAATCTGAAAATTATCGAAATAAAAAATGTAAATATAAAATTTAAAAAATTAATCTTATTGAAATTTATAAGTATGAAAATAAATTTTAATATTTGTGTTCAATTTTAAAATAAATATTGTACAAAGAAATAATTTTAATTTATATTAAAATTTCTTTTCGCGACAGATACACTCGGGGATTTTTGGCTCGAAGACGTTTTCTCAATATTTCCCGGAGTACGGTACTTTTACAAGCAGTCTACCGTGGCTATAGAGAGAAAAAGAAGTACAGGGCTCTAAAAAAAGGTGTACTCATGGCGCAAAAACTTTTCCGAGGCAAGGTAGAACGAGAAAAATTCAAAGTTTTAAAAGAAGAAATGGCTAAACGTGCCGAAATCGAAAGAGCCAGCCGGGAAAGAGCCAAAGCTAAACAACAACGAGAGGAACAAGAAAGAGCATCAAGAGCTGTGGCCGGTGTCAATCATCTTGAAATTCCTGCAGAACTTGCTTTTATTTACAGCAAACTTGATGGTGAGTTAAAAATTTTAATTTATTTTAGTCACTAAATAGAGATAAACAAAAATTTTATTTTGGAAATTTCTTTATCACAATAAAATATATGTTTTTTAGACTGGCAGCCAACTCACACGGAGAGGAATTTAATAAAGGTCGTAGGATCAGTTGTTCCGTTCCCATACAATTACAGTCTGCCAACTGACATTGATCAGCATCAATTTTCCAAGTTTACGAATATTTATTTCAAGAGTCATATTTTTGGTATGAAGAGAGAACCAATAAAAACGCCATTTTTAGCAAAAGCACGCGATCAAGACTATACTGATTCATTGATGATATTTAAAATGATTCTTCGCTTTATGAACGAAAATAATCTTAGTGGTAAGAGAGAGCAAGCCCTAGGAGATTATATAATTAATAAGGGTATTGTCAATGAAAAATTACGTGATGAAATTCTCTGTCAATTGTCAAATCAAACGTGGAAAAATGAAAATGACGCCAATAAGGAGAGAGGATGGTTATTGCTTTCCAATTGTCTTTCCGCCTTTCAGCCTAGTCCAACGCTTTTTAAATATTTGCTCAAGTAAGTCTAGAAAATGAATTCTCAAATAAATAATTGGTTTTTTTTATTTAAAGGACAGTATGAAAAATTGTTAATTTGATTTTCTTTTATAGATACGTCTCAGATCATGCTTATGATGGCTATAAAGCTTTCTGTCAGAGAAAATTGCTTCAAGGCGAGAGAGCTTTATTAAGAGCGACAAGCAATGGTCAAACGACTGTACAACACGTTCCAAGAAATTATCCACCGTCTGTTTTGGAATGGCGAGCAAATAGGAATCGTGTAAATATGGCTTTGAACGTTGGATTCTACGATGGTAATTTTCATTTTTATATAAAAATTGATTAAAATTATAAATTCCACATAATTTAAATTTTCTTCAAATATTTCGAACTATAAGTTTAAAATTTTTTTTTCAAGGTGAAACGACAACTTGCGCGGTTGACTCGTGGACAACATGCGAGGAATTGGCGAATTTAGCGATTCGCAATCACGGCGTTGAAAATAATGGTTGGACAATTACATTATGGAATCAATTGGATGGACCAGATGCAATTGTCACTGAGACCAATGGCTTTGATTATGTCCTTGATCTTATTTCCGAAATGGAATTAGCCCCCGCATTCCCTGCCGCTAAGCACATGTTTTTGGAGCAGAGAAAGAATAGCTTCCCGCCAATTAAGAAGAGAGAGGTAAGCCTTTTACCTTATTTGGAACAGTGTAGGAAAGATGAACAAAAAGGGGGGGGGGATATTAATGAGAGAAATGAGAGTACGAGCGTGAGAATCATTTTGTTATGATGATTAAACATTTTTCAGCACACACAAGTCATTCGTGAATTGGAACAAAGCAATGAGCCACCTGTACTCAAGACCTTCCAACCACTCGAGAGGAAACCAGTGCCAAAAGTTGTTGACAAACCGGTCGAGCCGGAAATTCAATCACCGAGACGTCCGGCAGTTCCACCACCTCAACCTCCAATTTCAAAAGCACCAGTGAGTATATTATTTTTGAAATTTTCTATTTTTCATTCGTTTCAATTTATATATCAAACATTTTTAGTTTATCGTAAATTAATTTTTGATAAATTATTTTTATTTATTTTTTAAATTAATTAAGTTTTTATTTTACACTATTTTTAATATTTATCTAATTAAAGGAACAATTAATTCATTTTTCTTCGTTGCTTGTTAAATAAAAAAAATTTTTTTTTTTTTTCTTATAATAACTCAGCACGTTTGTGAAACGTTGTATAAAAAGAAACAAGTCGCGCGTCTTACGTGTTTGAAAAATAATAACAATCGCACAATTCACAGATGAGAAAACAGTCACACGAGGGCATTCTAGAAACGACCGAAATGGGATTGTCGAGAAAGTCGGCATTGAACGATAGATACTTTGAAAAGGAAAAGCAACGAAGTAGAAGTTTGGATAATCTTCTTCAGCCAGAAATTGTTGTGCCTCCAAGTAAACTCGCTGGTTTGGGATTATCATCATCGAAATTAAATGAACGTTATCATAGTTTAGAAAGAATTGGCGAAGCTCCTGCTGTAAGTAATGTGGAATATATGACGAGAAATGAAGTTGTACAAGAGAGAAAGTACAGCAGAATAACAAGAAGTTCCGAGCCAAATATCCTTGAGGAGGAGGATCTTACTATTGATTTTGAATATCCTGATATTCAATCAGTCAGTCAAACAGGAAGATCCGAGGATGACAAAAACAGTTATATTCGGTCGCAGACTAGATTCATTAAATCACAATATCCAGGTAAATGTAAAATAAATCTGTTTTGAAATTCTGTAAAATCAGTTTTATAATTTCGATAAATTAAATTTTAGGAAAACGAGCACTGCCAGGAAGTCAATCAAGCAGAGCATACATAGAAAAAAGTGAATACGGAATAAAATCCTCGGCAATGTCGGATACGAGTGAAGCTCCATCCCTTGCATCTCACGTTCGTCGTGTACGCGTTCCTAGTCAAGCTTCCGACGTCGATCAATTTTTGGACGATCTTTTTATGCCAGTTCTTGATGGTAATTTGGATGAGCTTTCAGACGCGAGAAGTCTCGCTGCAAGTATCAAAGGAACATCATTCGAAGAAAATGAAATTCAATCTAAGAAAAATGTCAATTCAAATCAAATGAATACAGTCGATGATTTTGTGAAAGCAATGATTAGTTCTTATGAAAGAAATGAGACACAATTGACATCGAGTGTACTTGCTGAAAAGATAAAAGGCGATGGAAATATGGATAATGGGAATCAAAATGCTGCTTTCAATTTTAATGCTCTTGCTCATGGAATGATGCCACCGGCAATGATGATGCCAATGTTCAGTCCACCTGCACCAGTTTCACCAGGACAAAATCAAAATATGAACAGTATGAATATGTCCTCTGGATTTATGCCAATTCCTATTTATAATATGCAAGGACTCAATTTACATCAATTCTCAAATTCGCCACCTAATCAAAATAGTGATATGATGGCGTATCAACAAAATCTTCAGAGAGCTTTTTTGCAACGTGCAATGGCGCAAAATATTCAAATTCAACAGCAAATATTGGCGCAGAATCAGGCACTCCATCAGCTATTGGTTCAAAGTCCACAAAATGCATCACAAACGGTAAAATTGCATTTTTTTTTAATAATAATATTAAAAATTAACTCAAAACTAAATAATTTAAAATTCTCTTTTTGTAGGAATCAAATGAAGCAGATCTTTGGTCACCAGAAAAACGCCCAATGCCATCGCATTCAACGCCAATAAGTCAACGGCAAGAAACTGTGATGGTAAAAGCACAAGTTCATCGATCTCAAAGTCCACCGAAGAAAAATTCAGATATGAGAAAAACAAGTGTTGAATATGGACCAAGAAAAATTAGTGTCGATAGAAAAACAATGAATTCGACGCCTGATTTAAAGAGAACTGGTTCCCATAAAGGAAATGTTCAAAATAATTTTACAAATGTTCTCAGTGAATTGAAAAATAGAAAGAGTAGTGTTGATAATGGTCTTGTTTTCAATAAAGGTGTTCCTCCACCACCACCGATGCCACCACCTTTAGAATCGCACGATCCATCAGAATCGAGACCTTTCTTGGATCCCTATGGACGAGCAAAAACTGTTCGCATTGGAAAATGGAGGTAAATTTATAAATTTTCTTTGGAAATTTTCTATAATTAAAATTTTTAATTGATAATTAAATTTCTTTTTTTGTAATTATTAAAGATGGCCTCCGTTGAGTGATTCAAATGAAGGTCAAAATCAAGACAGTTTTATTGAATTTAAAATGCGTCAACAACAACAGCAAAGAAAAATCACTCCTCATTATCAAGAATATCAAGACGGGGAACCAATGACCGAAGGTGGTGTTGAATGGGAGGAATTTGAGATTGAAAATATTTCAAGTAATGAAGAGAGAACAATTGTTGTTCATTCGTCAACTGCCGTTATTAAACGACACGAAAACGGCTATAAAGAAGAAACTGACAAGAAAAAGAAGAAATCAAAGTTAGTGATATGAAAATATATTTTTAAAAAATAGATTAAATCTGTTTCTTTTTAAAGAATAAATTAATTTGTTTTTCAAATTTTCCATATTTTCAGATCTGGATTTGAAATAGGAGCACAAAGACCTTCGCCTGGTAGCATAGGAAAATTGAAGTTAAGTTCAGAAATGAGACAGAGGCTTGAGATGGTAACTGCTAATCACAGTGTGAGATCGACAAAAACAACGGAAAAGCCTGCTTTGCCGAGAGAAGATGGCAAGGTTAAGAGGCTAGAAGACAACAGGAAACTTCTTCTTGAGCAACAATTAGGTATTTTCTTCTTTATATATGTAAATTACTATTTTATTTTTTTCCAACCAAGAATAAGATTTCTACGATACTATTTTTAAATTCTTTTTTTTTATAATCAAGAATAATTTAAAACTTGGCTAAAAATATGTTTAAACATTTTTGTGGATATTTTCGGTTTGATTTTTACAAATTTTTTTTTAGGTGGTCGATGGGACGATTATGCCTCGACTGCTGACGACACGCAAAGTGTAACTTCAAAGGGAACAACAGACATGATGACACAGGCGCAAGTTGTAAAAACTCAAATTGAAAGGATGGAGAGACCGATTCCTCCACCTCCGCCAATTACGCCTCCGGAACCTCCCAGTCCAAGGGGTGGAAGTGTCTACAGCAACAGGTATGTTTTAAATTCCACAACTACTTGCTTCTATTTATCGACATAAAAATTTCACGAAATGAACCCTTTGGAAATTACACCTGAAATAAAAAGCTTCGAAACTTATTCTTTTCTGTACAAAAAAAAACTGAATTTCTTTTTTTGTAATGCTTCAGTCAATCAGGAGTGCCTCAACCAAAATCGCCACCAGCACCCGTTGAGCCAAAGAATCGAGACATGTTTCGAAGTTCGCCCGATTCTGATACTTTCGATCATTTTGCAAAAAATCAACGTGACATGTTTAGTCAAAGCCGTGATATTTTTGCATCTCAACAACATTTACGCGAGAATCATGAATTCCGCAACGATTCAAGAATGCAGGATTCAAAATCAAAAGATTATTTTGGCAAGGACAGCACTGATATGGCTAGTTCGGTACGTGATCGAAATTCTGATTTTGATTCGCGTAGAGATATGAATTCTGACATATTCTCCGAAGCGAAATATGCGAGGGAAATTTTCGAAAACAATAATGCTAAACGTGATCCTTTTGGTATGACAAGGGACGTTTCACCAAAATCAAGAGACAGTTTTGGAATGCCATCGCCACGTGATTTTGGTGTTGTGCCAAATACACGTGAATCATTCACAGTCACACGACAGAGTTTCAAAAAATTGGATAATGATATTGATAGACGTTCGAGTATTGCATCGACACATCGAACTGATAAAATGGAACGAATTGAAATTGAAGAATGGCCAGAATTTTTAAAACCCGTTTTGCCACCAGCTGATAAACAGGAAATTGAAAAAGTTCAAGAAATATTGGATACAAAATTATATCCACAAACATCGCAGGCACATTTTACTTATAATAGAGTCACGTGGACACTTCGTGTTAAGAAGGAAGTTTTTGCTCCCAATGAGAGTTTAACAACGCCACTCGCATTGCATTTGGTATTTTGTCAAGTTGCTTACGATGTATTGGCCACATCGAATATTAGAATCTCAAAAGAAGACAGACAAAATATGCTCAAACTATTGGATAATTATGGAGTTACTCTGGATAATCTTCAAAGCACTCAACACAAGATTACGATTAAAAAGAATATTGTCGATTTAGCCAAACAATGGCCTCTTTACTTCGCTAGAATTTTCCCCGTATCGGTAATATTTAAAATAGTTCCATTAAAATTTGAATTTTTAAAAATTATATTTTTTTACAATTTGTTTTTTAAAAATGTATTTCTATTCATGGATATCGAATTTAAAATATAGATTGGACCTCAGCATCCAGAAGTTCAGCATGTAGCGGTTTCTCATCATGGACTGCGATTGATAAAAAGGAATTCGAACGGAAATTTGACGATTTTGGAAACATTGCCATTGGAGGACATTGTCTCTGTGGGTACAACAAGGGCTGGAATTTGTATGCTGCAAGTTTCTTCTGGAGTGCGTCTTCCTCTTCACACGAATCGTGCACCACAACTCGCAGATATGATTGGAAGATACATCCGGCTGGTGAGTACAAACTAATTATTGTAATACGTAGATTTTTTTTCAAATATGATAATGATCGTTGAGGTAATGAGGATGACATTCCGATTGATCACTTACGTCATTTATCTACAATGACAAAGTCGCAATTTTATTTTCGATGAACTTATTTCTCTCTTTCGTATGTGTGTGTGTCTCGCTTACAATATTCAAGGTTTTCTGTCTGATAGAATTTTTATTAAAAAAAAGTTTTATTACGCAAGATGGTAATAATGCGTTAACGAGTACGTCCTGTGTTTTGCGAGGTAAAAATTGTGGGTGCGGTCGACCTCAGAGTGCCTTTTCTCCAATCAACAATGAAGCGTTTCTCGACACGCATTCAATGCAAAGAGACGGATGTTTACTTTCAAATTCTAGAATCGTTTTTTAGAAATTGAAGGAAATTTTGTAAAACAAAACATTTTTTAAAAAATTTAATTCTGATTTTTTTTGTTTTTGACTAAGTTATAAAAAATTGAATGGAAATTTGAAAAAAACAATATTAGGAACAATAGAAAATAAAATAATAAATTATTAAATTTGTACGATTATCAGGTCATTAACTTTTAACCATCGACTCTGCGAAACTACATTTAAAAAAAACAAAGTTACGTACTTTTGTGGAATGTGTTTATTTATTAACGTTCTTTAAATTCCAGTGTGGTTTTCGGTGCTTTCAAATGTCAATTACAATGTTACGAGTATATATATATATAATTTTAACTTCCGAGAAACGCGGTTAAAACTAAAACTTTCATGGAGTAAAATTTTTATGCTTTCGATAAAAAAAAAAATTCAAATAATTGGAGGTTGTGATTTTTTGTGGATAATTTTTTTTTATCTAGAACTCGCGAGTATGAATTTATATATATATCTAAAGAAAAAGGGGGATGGTCTGAAAGGAAGTTGAATAAAAAGAACATTAGATGAAGAAGAAATAAAGAAGCCGTTGGCCAGCACATATGATCACTGACTGGAAATTTACAGACGGGCGTTATTCCTTATTACGTTAGAAGTCACGCCGTTATGAATCTCGGCAACATACCGATTATCGCTAATTGGTCGAGCGTTGAAAATTAATCGCTTGGACGAATCGTTCCTGAAACCTAGAATAGATCATCGATCGTTGCAAGGTGCTTCCAACCATCGTCTTTTGTATAATATTAGTGCTATTTCCGTTCTTTAGAGATTCATCTCTCGCAACATTCCTATATATATATGAGTTGTTAGCAATATCTCCCGAAGGCTCAATTAGATTCATCATTACGCTCGATAACGAGAAAGAAAATTTTTATTTGATGACTTTTTTTTAAATCAATTCCTAAGGTATTGAATTAATTCTTGTTGTTTTTATATTAAATTAAAAAATTTTATTTTTAATTTTAGGTGATTCCAATTCTAAAAAATCGGAAAATTTATGTACGAAAAAATATTTTTATATCCGGATTTTCAAACTTCCGAGCATCAAAGCTCCTTAATTAGATACTTTAACTGTTTTCAAAGGAAACAGACCTGATTATTTAGGTCAATAATTTCCGTATTAGTATATATAATGCTTGTATTTATTTTCTCCCGAGAATTCTTCAGATATTACAATTTTTGTTTAAATTCTAGTCTCTTTATGTCAATCCAGCAAAAAATAACTCGAGTTCTCCGGTTAATTATTGTCAAAGGAAAAAAAAAGGAAATATTATAATAATAAAATTCCTTTCTCGATAATATAGGAAGTAATCAATGAAGTAGCACTCGTTGCTTAAGGCAAGGTATTGCAATTTTTCGCAAAAAAAAAAAAAAGGAAAAGCTCATATACAATCAAAGTGAATAATTTGATTCTTCGACTATATACGCACGCATTCATGGTAAAAGCGCGCGCCTTTTCCTTTGACCCTGATGACCTTGATCGCACACCTTATGCTGAACGATAATTATGCCTCCGGAACGTCGGCTAATTTTTACAGAAGGGAGAAACCTGCAACCAATGTGTATGTGTCGTGCAAGGAGAGTGAGAGAGATCGGATTTCTAGTAATGTATACTTTATTATACGACGATGCAAACCATGAGCAATAAATGGAATATGTGTATATATACACAAATACACGTGGAATATATTTACAACAGTACGTGAAAATCTCACATAGAGCCAAGTGAATTAGAGAATAGCGCATGAAAGGTTCATCCTTCTCAATGATGTTTTAGACAAAAAATTTACTATTCACGTGACGTTGCTAAACTTTAAAGTAGAAATTATAGAAGTAGGTGCAAAGGAAAATTGGACAAAAATTCTCGATGAGTTTCTACTTTGAAAATATATACACTTCATATCTATTATAACTTTCATTTTATATATTATTTTGTCCCATTTTATTTAATTGCAAGTGTACATCCCACATTTTTGATCGATCACTGATTTTCATGAAAGTAACGGGATGCAAAAATATTTTTCTTATACGTTGACAGAAAATAATTAACAAATTTTATATGTGACGATCAATTTTTGTCCAAAGTCATTGCCGACTAGATTAAAATTGTTTAAAAAAAATTTTTTTATTCAAATAATTTCCATTTAATTAATCAACAACAATTATTTTTATTTTATATAATTTTCTCATTTCTTATATAACATGAGAAATATTTGTTTAATTAGAAATTGAAGCCTTGAAATCGACATTTCCAAATTGGAATGATTATACAATTGATTTCAATTCTTATTATAAAATAAATGAAAAATTTACTTATTATCATTTTAATATCTCGTGTGTATAACACACCTATTATTTTTAATAGCCGTTGAAGTTCTAGAAACATTGCTTGGAATCGTGATTTCCTAACGTTATTTTTCTCTCTCCTTCTCTCTCTCTCTGCTTTTGTATGTTGCAATTCTTAATGCCATAAGTGCTGCTAATTCGCATCGCTGTTCGCTATCTTAGATTTCCTTCGACGGGTTCTCAGTTCAAGTAACTCATGTTTTCAAGTGCACTCTTTCTTCTTACAATCAGTCAGACATTTACCCATAGACCGGAAGTTATTTAAATTGCAAATTTAACTCCCATTTTTTCTATTCAACATTTGGCTCATGTTTTATCATCTTTTTTCTCTCATTTCTTTTTTTGGACTCAATTCAAGTATTTCTGATGCGGAATTTTTTTCCTTATTTTTAACTGAAGAATTTGATTTTTTTTTTGTTGTAAAAAAGCGAATTATTTAAAATTCAAAAATAATTTATTGAATTTATTTTTTTGTTTTCTTTTTTTTCATTTGAAAATTTTCTGTTTTCGAAGAAGCCTCCTTATCTATTGTATAAATAATTCTAACACCTTAAGTAAAGTGATTTAATCACAAGACACTTTCACGAATTTGATTTCCAATTACATGTATAGGTATATATAGAAATAGATTTCATGAACGATTGCTGTCAGTCAAGAAATTGATATCAGGTGTAAATCTTTTTTAAAATTCAATTAATAATTTATTGCTGCAAGTAAGACAAGTTTTTTTTTTCTCTTTCTCTTGTCAATGATTTATTAAATCAGATCCCCCATAAGAATTTCACTTTTCTTTAAGTTATTATTTCACAAAATACACAATAAGCTATATTGACTTTTACAAATAGAAAAAGAAATTGAACGTGGCAAAAGTGAAACTTGAAACATAGCAGAGTTTCTCAAGTTTCTCGCGGAACAAAAATAAAAACAAAAAAATTATAAAAATTCACATCCGTTTTTCTTTTTTTCAAAAAAAAAAATGAGTTTCCGAAAAATTATACAGCTGCTGACATTCTATATATATATATAATTGAGTCATAGACAGAGAACATAATTCCACATATATATACTTTTAAAGAGAGCAAAACGTTATACGCGCAGTTATATTCTTTTCGCAACGCCGTCGAATGTCAACGATCTTGTGGAACGAGCAGAAAGTACAAAACGTGCACCTGTCCATTTCACTGGAAAAGGGAACTAGATTCGCTGCCTTAGAAAAAAAAGAAATGAAATGAAAAAAAAAACTGTTCCCTGGGTGCCCGCCCGGCGAGAGTTTTCTAGGATCGATTACCGGTCTTACTAGTTACTTGCAGAGAAAACCGTCTATGGGCATCGGTAAATTAAAGCCTGAAAAGATTTCGTTCGATGTCCCTTTTTGCAAAGTATTAACCGTATATACTTCCTTTACGTCAAAAAAAAAAAAAAAAAAAAAAAAAATAGAGAGAAAAATATTTGTCGTCTCCCACAAATCAAGAAAAAATGAAATAAAATAAAAATAAATTTTGTTGCTATAAAAAAATTGCGAGAAAGTATTTCTCCAGTCATACTCATATACCGGAAATTGATTCTTGTACCGAGAGGAACGAAGCCTGATATCGTTTATATATGTAATGTCCAAAGAGTGAACTGTTTTTTAATATTCGTGCGAGAGAGAATAAACCTTGGAAATACGAGTACGTATATATACTACCTGCAGGTTAGTGCACCTGCCGGCGACGGAAACGAGCGATTATGTTCAGCCGAAAAGGGAGCCGTTAACGCACTACATATATATTCGCCCTTTCAAAAACCCTCCTCCTCTTCTCATTCCTAAAAGTGAATCCTATGGTGAAAATCAATTTTTTTTCGGTACTCGTCAAAGGATCTTTTACCTCATTTTAGAATTTCAAGAGGAACCCCACAGACTATACAAAAAGGTGTATACAATCTATTCTCCAAAAACACTTCAGAACAAACTTTTCTTTTTTTTTCTGCAAAGGAGGCTTCTTCGGCTCATTCACGTAAATTATAGCTATTGATCGTTTTATCGCTGTTTATTTTCGAATTTCAAAAAAGATAAAAAAAAAATACCCGACAAATTGTTGTGTCAATATTTACTCTTTTTTTTCTCTTCGCTTATTACAAATTATCTTTCTAAAAAAAATCTAATTACCCTGAATTTATTTTAAAAGAAAATTTTAAATAAAAAGTTAAAATAATAATTTCTATTATTATATTCGTAA